GGGGAGGGCGTCTTTACGGACTGCTGGATCCTGCTCCCCCCCCCCCCCCCCCCGCCCCCCCCCCCCCCCCCCCCCCCCCGCCCCCCCCCCCCCCCCCCCCCAGGGTCCTCTGCCCCCTGTCCCCCCGCTGCCCACTCTGCGAGCCACTGCACTTGTGAACGCTTTTTATTTTCGCTGTCCTGCATGTTGATGTATCTGTCAATAAAGCCAGTATACCAGGACTGTGTGGTTCACTCTGTCCGGTGCCCCTGCTTCTTACCTTGCTTTCACATCGGGTTTGAGGTTCATGTGTGTGATTTTCTTTCCTCATCATGTTTACAGTTAGCTGTGGCCTACATCCAGAGAGGCCTGCCTGCCTGCGTGTGTCACTGATTCACAGGCCTGAATTTTTGCCTGGAGAAAGTCAGGCTGGCCAAGTGTAATATAGCGTTATGAATAATCAGCCTTAAGGGTGCCTCCCCTTCTACCACGGCGCTGAATTCTCACATGTGATTGGTTAAAGGGGTTATGATGCACAACTTGCCTACACGGCGCCGGCCGGGAGAATCAGCCGGAGTTCATCGATGTGTAAGTAAAATATGGAATTCTAACTAACGTCACTTAAAACTGCAGACACAAAACACAATTTCAATTAATGGAAACAGCAATTTTGAACTAACGACTGGCTTATGGTCTCAGTGACAGACCATTTTCAAATTAATGATGGTGGCTTGGGTTGTATCGAAGCAAAATGTTTAATTGTTGGCGGAAGAAAGTTTGTCTAACGTGTTTTTGTCTTGTAAATGAGAAAATGATGTATTTAGTTACAAAAATGTATTATCTGTGGTATAAGCAGGTTAATGTATGCCAAGCCATTAACCCTTATAACTTGCATTTTTGTTGTCTGGGTTAAAACGCCCCCCCCCCAGCAAAATTAATCATATAACTTTCACTTTCAAGTCTCTCTTGTATTTGGTTGATTGGGAACAGTCTTTAAGAACCTGCAGCACAAGACAAAAAAGTACTACAACAAGAAATTAATCCCCACCCCTGAAAGCGGCCTTTGTCCCTTGCTGAGTACCCCCCCCATGAAATCTTTGAAAGTCAGTGTAGCACTGACTGGTTCAGGCTCAAGCTGGATTGGACACTGAGCAAACACAAGTGTGTGTTTGAGCAGAGGGAGAACAGAGGTCGTTTATGGGCTGCCTTTGCACGAGCCTGCTGTCCGCAAGGAACAGCTTCTCTGCTTCGGGGAACAGGCGCACACACAGACACACACACACAGACACGCACACGCACAGACACACGCATGCACAGACACACGCACACACACACACACACCCCATTATCAGGCCATGCTACGTGACACGTATCAAACAATTTTTCAAGATCTTTTGACAGGACAGAAAAAAACACAGCACAAGAAAGATATGCCAGTTTCCAAAGGGCGACTTTAATGTCGAATTTCCTGGATATCAGTGGAGTGTTTTTGTGTAAAGATTAATCTTCGTTCCAGGAAAGGCAGCGTGTAGTGAGAGTCTCTGCCAGCGGGGGCAGTCTCCTCCGAGGTATGTCCGTGCCGCATTTGTGGTTCCTCTGATGGGTTGAGTGTCAAATCCACGGGTGGAACGTGGATTCGTCTTGGAACGGCGTCCAATCTGTAACGCCCCTCCCCGTTCTAACGCAGCACACACTCATCGTCTATCACTGCTTTAGTCCAGGTCGTTTTCACATTTTTTTAAATTGTTCGGTGTTAAAGAACTCAACCCAAAGCCCTGTGAGAAACATCCCAGGGTCTGAGTACAAGAGGTCGGCGGTGAGGGTGACGGACAGGCAACCTAGGATTGCCAAGTCTGTGAGTGGCTGCTTCCCAGGCGCCGTAGTTCCCCTAGACAGCACGCGTCATGAAGGGACCAGGAAGCTGATTAGTGCTAACAAAGTAAGGGCATAGGCCTTGGCCTGTAAGGGGGGAACTACACCCTGTACATATCTACATGCTGACGTATCCATCTGTGCACTCAGACTGCACAGAACCCCTCTGGCGCCCCCCTAGGGGCGAATGATTCTCAGCCTTGAGGAACCAAGACCACTTGTGCCACAGGAATGTGCTTCTTCCTGCCTGATGTGGCGCCCCCTGCAGTCATCCTTTGTGCATCGCGATCCTAGAAGAAAAAGGGAAATGTGAACTGGACAGCCCAGGAGTTAATGGCATTACTAACACAGTTATTTAGAGGACCTTATCTCCCACAATGCAGTACAGTAAGTAATTTACAAAATAAGTGACCAGAGCATGGTGCTCAAATCAGCCTCCAGAGGGAACACATGCTCATGGCCAAGATGAAGCACAGAGGAGCTGGAAAAACACAGGAACTGTGAGGCCATGCTAACGGCGTTGAGAGGTAGATGCTGAAAGAGCACTGCTGTCACTGCGAGGGATGCGGTGGGGAGGGGGCACGTTCATGCCCGTGGCGCCAAAACGCTCTTGTGGGACCAGCCACAAAGGGCCCGTGCGGCTGCAGTGTGTCACCTTGCAGTGGGCCGGCGACCCTCGGCGATTCTGAAAGGCCCCGCTTGTCGAGTCTGTGACAGGAGGGGGTGGGGGAGCTTTCTTCTCTGCCAGCAACAAGCCGGTATTGTTCCCCCCCCGCCCCCGTTTGTGAACCCTGCCAGCCTGCTGAGGCCCGGCTCGTGTGGATCAACTCGCTGGAACCGTGCAGCTAGCCTCCCTCTTCGAGCCTGACCTGTGGCCTCGTGCTGGCTCTGGCTCTCAGGCTCGTGATTAATAATAATAATAATAATAATAATAATGAAACATGAAACCTGATTGAGTCCAGTTCCAGTTCTCTTTACCCAGAATCCGATTACAAACACGTCCAGTGGGGGTGTCCACGTAGCCCCCGTGCCTGTGTGAGAATGAACGGCAGGCAGACAGTGCCCATCTGATTAGATGGGAGGCAGCGATTGGCCAGGAAACAGCCTCACTGGTATCAAACAGCAGAGCACAATCGCCACCCTTTCCAAATTCCTGGGAAGGGTTATGGTCAGTGGAAGCGGCATGTCCATCACACGACAGGATGTGCTCGGCCTTCATGTGCCACTGGATTTCCCTAACGCCCTCCACACAATGGTGAATCTAATTAGTTAATGGACACTCTGTGGATTAGAAGCTTAATCTCGAAATTGGAAAGATGACAGTATCCAGGCAACCTTCCATTTAATCATAAAAACAGGCATACTTGGGCATAGTTCATTTTTGTTTTGCTTTCACCGGTAGGTAGTGGAGAGGGATGGGGGGTCAGGACGCCACCATCACAGATGAAGGCGGGTGGGAGGTTGATGGATGTGAATGGATGTGACACAAGCAACGGAGAGTGATTTGTACCCTGACAATATTACTGAATCATTCCATCGAATCCAGCCTTAATGCGAACATTTTACCTTTCATCATAATTATTCATTTAATGAATAAAATATTAACCTACACGATTTATAACATAGCTCGTCTCTATAAGGCTTTAGGCCAGCTTTTCTCAAACTTGGGGTCCCCTGAATTGTCCAGTAATTGAAGATTTTCGACTAATTATTATTCTTTTAAAAATTATGATTAACACACCACATGCAATTAGAGGAAGGCGATACATCGATTTTATCGATTAATTCGAAACAGGACGATGTGTTTTTATGAAAATCGATTTTAGTACTTATTTTACACGCGAACGCCAAGAGCGGAACTAATGCGACGCACCGTTCTTCATGGGTAAATTAGCTCGGGGCACCCAAACACTGCAGCGAATTCACAAACAACATGGCAACGACAGAGGAAAAGCTGGAGCTTGTGCCCAAGAAAGGTATTGCTACATCTGTAATATGGAATTGGTTCGGTTTTGCACCGTCGGACACAGACCAAACAAGTCCTGTTTAAAAACTGTTGCAACCAAAGGAAGCAGCACGACAAATTTATTCCAGCACCTAAAGCAGACGCACACAGCGGAGTGGGAGAAGTGTAGCTCTCATCGAAATTAAAATAGCCGCAGCATCAGCACAACATCCAAAGTTAAGCAAGCGACCGTCCCTGACACGTTTTCGAACTGTGTGCCATATGATAAGAATCGGGCACGATGGAAGGCGATAAACGCTGTCGCGATGTATATTGCAAAAGACATGGTGCCCATACATACTGTGGAAAACCGGGATTCTTTAACATGCTAAAAGTTTTTACAAGTTTCTAAAAGTGTTTACAATGGCGTGGTCTGCCATCTCACTTACAAG